CCTAGTCCCCCTTTTTCTAGAATTTGCCGACCGTCTACTAAAATTTTCCCAATTCTTACCTCGCTTAATTTCATTATTAGTGGAATCATCCCTGCGATGTATGAACCCACAAGCATAACAGCCACTAGTAAAACGAGCATGAATGTTTCTTCCGTCATTTTTTGTAACTCCTTCCACCTCTCGGTAAAAAAACACGATTGACGAAAAGCTAAATAAATATAAGATTTATGATATGACAAACACCCTATTTGTATAGCATTTTAGCCATTTTCTTACAGATTTTATTACTTTATGACTTGGTATGATCAAGCCTGTGCTTGGTGGCCAGGCAATGCCACGCTTAAAATCTTATTTGCTGGTATACCAAATCTTGAAATCCAGCTTTACGTTAAATGCATTAGTGTATATCTTATTTATCAACAGCTTGACTATCTTAAATTATTAAGAGCAGCATTGAATTTCATTTTGACATTACAAAAGCTTTGTGAGCATAAGAACCACTTCGTAAGCAAACTATTTTTTAGATTTTAGTAGGGACACTATACGATACCATTAGTTATGGCACGATGAATCGAATAACCGATTATAATCGGTAATTTTCATTCGGTTAACGATTTCTTGGATAAAATTTTCCTTTCGATTAATCGATTGACAACACAACAATACCATGTTCTGACCGACATCGAAAACATATCATAATAGTAGCCGTCATCGATTCGCCAACAGTTAGCGAGTGGCGAAACGAACGAACTCACCCTGCCAGACACGGCTCACCACTTTCCCCTAAAATTCAAACGATTTACTAACACATTCACAACTTTTTAGTCATCTCGCCCACACACTTACAAATTTTTTGTTCGAACTGTCAAAAAATGTCCCTTTGTTAGAGCTACATACCCGATAAGAATTCGTACTCTAACAAGAATTCTATGCGTTAGAGCGAGCAAGTTAGAAACATAAGAGTTTTGATGACAGTATACATACTGTGAAGAAATGTCACTACGAAAATTTTGAAGGTAAGAATACGTATTTAACAATTTTATTTAATTATAATGTAATTTCTTATTTTAGATTGCAAAACAGCAGCGACTTAGTCACATTCTTAAGGTATGTATTGAGACTTTTTATGTTTATAAATTTTAATTGATATTTTTGCTTGTTTACAGATTCACTATCAGCACCTTCAACGCTTGCATCTTCATCGCCAGGAGCACCATTAGAACCTTCTGCACTCAGCTTCTTCATCGCCAGGAGCACCACCAGTACCTTCTATCCTCAGCTCCTTCATCGCCAGGAGCACCGTGAGTACCTTCCGCCCTCAGCACCTTCAACGCCAGGAGCACCTTCAAAGTGTAGGTCCAACTTGTCAAATTTT